TGTATGTAAGCACACCCATGTAGTGCAATGCCTGCAGAGGTCAGAAGAGGGTGCTGGATCCCCTGGAACTGGGCTTGCAGAAGGCTGTTCCCTACCAGGTCCTGGGAACTGAACCCAGAGTAACTTTTTTGAGAAGTCTTGCCAGGCAACCCTGGCTGACCTCTGACTCCTGACAATACTCCTGCCTCTGCTTCCCCAGTGCTAGGATTATAGGCATGTACCGCCACACCCGGCTTAAGCCTGCACTTGCATAAGTGCATTCATTTATTCTTTGAGTAGTGATAACTGAGGGCCAACATGTTGGCTCAGTGGGTAGAGAACTGCTTGTGCCAGCAGCGACTCAGAGCTTTTGCTGGGCTCACAGCAACGGTGGCTTGTTGTTCTGGTTTGTTTCTTCATTGCTGTGACAGAATACTCTGACCACTACCAACTTGGGGAAGAAAGGGTTTATTTAGCTTACATATCCCAGGTCACAGTTCATCACTGAGGGAGCCCAAGGTAGGAACTCAGGGCAGGAACCTGGAAGCAGGAGCTGGGGCACAGGCCATGGAGGAACGCTGCTTACTGGCTTGCTCCCCTGGCCCCTGCTCAGCCTGCTTTCTTATGCAACACAGGCCCACCTGCCCAGGGGTGGCACCACCCACAGTGGGCTGGGCCCTCCCACATCACTCATCAAGCAGGTGCCCCACGGACATGGACTGGACAAGGCCAGTCCAATGAAGGCAATTCCCCAACTGAGGATCCCTCAACCCAGGTGTGTCAAGTTGACACTAAAGCTATCCAGCACACTTGTGCTGCCTCATTGAGATGTGTATCCTGTTCTGCTGCGACATCCCTAGGGAGAGGGAGTGATTGGCTCCCAGCTCTAAGTAGCAGAGTCCAGCCACTTCATGGCTGTGGTGCGCAGGCACTCTATCTGCCTGCTGATAAAGGAAGGTGAGAAAAGATCAATAAGTATCATCGGGTGGTGAATAATTAAACAAGTTCCTAAGTCAGTCCTTGGTTCTTCTTCCTATACTGTTTTAGAAACATCATTTTGAGCTTGGTGTGGTGGTGCACATCTACAACAACCCCAGCACTTGGAAAGTGAACAGGAGGATCAGGAGTTCAAGGTCATCCTCAGCTACACAGGGAGTTTGAGGCCAGCCTGGGCTAGAGGAGAATCTGCCTCAAAGAGCAACAATAACAAAATAAAAGGCATCTTTTAAAAAGCTGGTGTAGTGGATCTAGAGAGATAGCTTAGTAGTTAAGAGCACTGGCTGCTCTTTCAGAGGACCTGGATTCGGTTCCCAGTACCCACGTGGTGGCTAACAACTAGTAACTCCAGTTCCAGGGGCTCCAATGCCCTTTTATGGCCTCTGTGGGCATTTCATGGACATAGTGCACTTGTATACATGCAGGCAAAACACTCATAGACATACCAATTTAAAAAATTTAAAGCTGGTATACCGGTGTGTACCTGTAATCCTAGAACTTGGGAAATGGAGGCGGGAAGGTCAGGAGTTCAGGGTCATTTGGCTACACTGTGACTTGGAGGCCAAACTGCTCTACATGAAACCCTGTTACAAAGTCATCACTTTAGTATTTTACTTTAACCCTCAACAACTGTGAACTTTTAAAAGAATTATTGTTTTAATTATTTATTTATGTGTTTGTTTTGTCTGCTTGTAGGTAAGTGTACCACATGCATGCAATGCCTGAGGATGCCAGAAGAGGGTGTCAAATCCCCTGGAACTGGAGTTACAGACAGCTGTTAGCCACATGTAGGTGCTGGAAACCAAACCCAGGTCTTCTGTAAGAGTAGCCAGTGCTCTTAACCTCTGAGCTCTCTCTCTAGCCCGTTTTTTGTTTTTAACTCAGTTTTTTAAAAAAGATTTATTTTTAATCTCAATCTTTTTTGGTCTTTTTGAGATAGGGTCTCCCTGTAGCCTCACCTGGCCTGGACTTACTGTAGAGACTGGGCTGGCCTCCATCTCGCAGAGCTCTACCTGCCTCTGCCTCCCAAGTGCTGGGACTAATGTGTGCCATCGCACCTGGAGTATTTATTTTTAACTAAGTAATTTTTTGTGTGTATGAGTGCTTTACCTACACGTATGTAAGTGTACCCATGCTGTACAATACCCACAGAGGCCAGAGAGGGTGTTGGGTTCACTGAAACTGGAGTTATGTATGGTTGTTAGCTGTCATGTGAGTGTTGGGAACTGAACCAAAGTCCTCTGCAAGAACAGCCAGTGGTCTTAACTGCTGAGTCATCTCTTTAACCCAAAAGATGTATTATTTCAAATAATGTGTATGTGTGAGTATCTGTGTGGGTGTGTGCAGAAGAGTACAGGTGCCTGCTGGGGACAGAGGTGTTGGATCCTCTTGAAGCTGGAAGTACAGGTGGTTGTGGGCTGCCAAGATGTGTCCTGGGAACAAAACTTGTGCCCTCTGCAAGAGTGCTCTCTTAACCACTGAGCCATGTCTTCATCCATCTCCTGTGAGCTGCATTTTATTGGCACGTCCACTTCTAGATGAGGGCTCTCTTAAGTGCCTGATCACACACTGACACATTGCTCAGCTGGAACCACAAGTCAAAAATCAATCAGGGAAAGGCCAGGGAGATGGCTCAGTGGGTAAAGGTGCTTTCCACCAAGGCTGACAACCTGAGTTTGATCCCCAGGACTCACTTTGTAGGAGAGAACTGTCTTTTCTAGCTCTCTGTCAAGTCACACATAGGAGTATAGAGCTGGAGAAATTGTCGCAGAGTACACTGTGTAACCAGCACCCCAACTGGGAGCCAGGACTCACCCTCCACACCTGCTGCCTGGCTCTGGAACCTTCCCTCAACCTTAACCACTGTCCTGACTCCTAACCAGTCTCACAAATCTATCACTCTGTAAATACGGAAGCTTCTATCTTATAGCCTTTAACCCGGATAAGAACTCATGTAGTCAAGGCTAGCCTGGAACTCACAATTCTATCTCCATTTCCCAAGTGCTGGGAATACAGGAGTGCATCACCATATCCACTTAAGAGTTTTTTGTTTGTTTGTTTGAGACAGGATCTCACCCTGTAGCTCAGGCTGGCTTGATACTTCCGACACTCTTGACTCAGATCCCCAGTGCTGTGTGCACAGCTATGTATGCCTGCCTGGCTCTCATCTGACTCTTTTTGCTCAGTCATTTGTGAGAGTCATCCCTATTTACTGCTGTAGTTGTAAATTATTGAATGTCATTCCACTGGGTGAATGTCACAATTTATATAACCCTTTAATAGCTGATGCATATTGGGGTGGCTTCCAATTTGGGTACTATAAAACACTGCTGGTTGGAGGGAAAGTAGTCAAGTCCTTTGAAGTAGATTTCAAAGGTGGCTGGATGCCTGCACCTCCACCCCACACCCCCACCACAACGGCCTGCAAGCGTTCCAGTCGTTCTGCTTTCTTGTCAACACTTGGTATTGTCAGATTTTCCCATTTTTCCTCTTCTGGAGGCTGAGCAGGGCACTTTATTTCAAAATTCCTCCCTAGCTCCTTGGATTGCATCGTAGGATAGCTGTTTTTCAGATAAAAACACCAGGGCTCTGACAGGTGAACGTCCAAAGTCTCCTAAACCCTGGCAAGGGCTCAAGGCTGAGATGCCAGCACAGCTGTGGGGCTTCCACCAGCACTTTTCCTGGTCCAGCATCCTTCCGGACCCGGCCTTCACTGGTTTCTGGGTAGCTGGGAGAAGTTGACTTTGCGGCCCAGGTTGCTGGCCTGGTCATGGGAGGCTGTGCCTCCAAGTGGCTGGGGGCCCCTCAACCTGCTGGCGGCCAGAGGCCCCAGGGGAGGGCGGGGCGCGGGGGACTGGGGCTGAGGATGCGGGGATTCCGGACCGCGGGTGGGCTCTCAGAGGGGTGCGGTTCTGGGGGCGGCCACCTGCTGCAGGAGGAGGGTGGGCAGAGCCGTGTGCACCCAGGGGCAGCGCGGAACCCTGCGCGGGGAGACCCGAGGCC